TCAAGCAACTAGTTGACTAAATTGTAAAAAGAGTATCAAAACGCTTTTCAGTTTTCTTTATATTGTCAACATTCAATTGCAGTGGAACCCTATTATGGGCTGAAAATATATTTTTTCAGCAAAAAATTGCAATTTTATGAAAAATAATTTTCCGTATTAAAAATACCCTGCATTACTACAGAGAAAGTTGAACATATACTTTACGGAAAATGTAAATTCTTCACTGAATATTCCACTTACATCATGATAGTTATGAATACAGTTCACACCATGCAAATTTAATCTTAATTGTCTAAACTGATTATATTTGTGGCAAAACAGAAAAATAAATCATATTCCTTGTCCATTTGCAGATTTTCATTAAGCAGCAACATCACATTTACTTAGAATTAACTCGTGATTTTATACCTCAAATCTAATTAGCCATAAATAATAATAATAATAATAATAATAATAATAATAATAATAATAATGTATAATAAACAAAACAGCGAGCTGATAAAATAATTGAAGGTCGTGCTGTCTAAAGTTCTTTCATAGAAATCAGAAATATATCAGCAGACAAATTAATGTAACGGTTCAATTTACACCGGCAATAGTAATTTGACAGGTTTGATATTTTTTTCTTCTAGAACTAGTTTGTGTTTAGTACAAGAAAAAAATCACAAAATGAGAGTAGAAACTCGAAAAGAGAAGCACTCCGTGACTTCATTTAATTTGAGAGTAGAGAACAGTTCATACGCGTAAACCATATTAATGTGGAGAATTAGAAGTATGAATTGGGCTTTGTACATGGTACAACATGTTTCCACAAAAGCAATGGCATTGTGATGCACAACATTAATATCTAGAAAGTTGGGATTTTACCAAAGGTAAAAAGAGAAGTGTTTTGAGCCTAAGACAGTTGCTCACCATTGCATTATTTGTTTTTCCAGAAGAAAAAAAAATGAGGAAAAATCTTACTGGCCAAATACCAAAAATTGAAATTATTACTATTCTTTTAGTCATTCATTTATCATTATCATAATAAAATAAAACAATAAAACAGACAATCACCCACCAGGTGTACAGTCTAATAAATGTACAGAAATTTCACACTTACAATGAAACAATAGTTTCAAACATAGAAATCGCCACCCAAATAATGAGGCAAGGCATTGGTAAGAACATCAATTCTAACCTGTAACATGATGTGCGCTGAACATTTTCACTATTGCAAGGAATGGCCAATGGAAGAAGTTTAGAAGAGGGAACGCTGTCCACAAGCTAACTACATGTAAGAATAATGGTAACTATTTATTGACTATTAATATAGGACATATAGCCATATGAGTACAAAATATTGGTTGGAGAGTTTTTTTGGGCTTTTTTTGCAAATGTAATTATTGATTGGGTGTGATTCTTGTTTTTATTTCTTTGTATTTGTTTCTACATATCCATGAGTATATAGACAACCAAATCTCCACTCCTTATTACAGTTATCTCAGGTTCAAATCTCCTAAAGACAGTGTCCATGGAGTATCACCCGTTTTCACCTAAACTATTTTCCGTTAACACACCAAATATAACCAGTAAAAGAAATGGACTCCTAAATGCTGATCTGTACAAAATATTAAATATTTCAAAGTGGGAGGTGACAATAAACAAAAAATATACTGCAAGATATGCGTGTACAGATTCATGTACACTATTGAAAATGGATTTAACTGGACTCCAAGTATGATGTGATATGAATGTTACAGGCTCTTCCTTTCCAGCATCAACTTCCTAGTATTTTCTTGGGGGGCCCTTCTTCATAGTAGCATGCAACAATCTTCTACAGCAGTACACAAAGACACAGGAGCGGGGATACTGAAAACAAGAAGTGTCCTTCCATATAAACATGAAAGTGGTTTGGCCATGTGCAAGAACCCTAAGTCTTTCAATCCTAAGCATTTAACTTTAAAATCTGAAAGATTTAATTGCAAGTACCTTGCTGCTTTTGCAACCTTCTCCCCGAGTGCTAAACACACTGATTTCTCAAGTGTTCCTGTTTTTCCGTTTCACTCTAGCCATTGAGCTAAATCAAACTGATAATCTCAACTCAAGTACATATTCTGAATTAGGTCTTGAAAGGTAAATCAACACTTATGTAAATCCCATTGATACAACTGATGTTCTTGGCAAAAAGTAATAATTATATTTAGGAAATATTTGATGTAAAGCAAACAAAAACCTTTAATCAAGCTTCTTTTAGGTAACCAGTTTGTTCTTCAGAGGAATATCTTTAAACTTCTTCTGATTATCATTGCAGTGCTATTGAATTAAAATTCATGTATAAATTTATATTACCTATAACAGGAAGGAAAGTACAATAACAACACTATCGCTACATAAGGTGAAGGAAGGCTTTTTAAAAAATAGAGCGATATTCATCAGTGACATAAAGAAATCTGATACACTATTTATATAAATATCATAAAGTCAGCTAATTTCAGTAATGTTTTCTTGATCCTACCATGTTTGTCAATAGCCAATGGCCAACATGATTTAAAAAGTGAGCTCCTTGCGTAGAATCTCAACACATTTATGAATTGGGGTATTTGCCAACTATGATGCAGATTTTGTGCTTTAATTTAATCGATAGGTGAGTTAATTTGCCCTATAATTGTAAAAAGCTGAAAAAAGAAAATTTCCTCTGATTTCATGAATACTGAGTTTAAACAAAATATTTTGCATATAATTTGAACTACCGAGGATTGATTTAAATCACATGCTGTTAAATTATCAGAATGATACATTTTATGCAAATTTTTAAACGTTTTATATCTAGTTGCACGAAATAATAGCACAGTTTTCTGGCAATGAGTCTGTAAAGAAGACTTTGTATTTATAAACACCAAGTGGCTAGGTATCCTTTAAAAAATACAAATGTCATTGGTATTTAACTTATGAATGAAGGTGGTCATAACACAAGTCCATAAATTATGGACTTGTGTCCATAATTTAGTTTAAGATTCTTATGATTTCAAATGTTCTTTTCTGAGAAATTTAATTGGAAGATTTTAATTTAATGGATATTAATTAGAAATGCATATAAACTGTTTATGGAATATTCTAATTTGCACACCCCGCAAGTCTTCGAATTTCATCGTTCATAAATGCTGGGTTTTTCTACATATTTTGAGCTTTAACGTGTGATATTTCCCTAGAAATTTTTAACCTAATTTCAAAATTTCTTGAAGTTTAATTTTTGTGACACTAAACTGGGTATAATTTTTTATATTAATCAGAAACAGAAATTTTAAAGTATATGTGGCAAGTGCACAGTAGGTTTCCAAGCGCTAAGAAATTAAATGTTCATTTATAGCAAAGCATGATAGACATTCAGAGACTTCAAGATGTCACCAGAAGTGGACAGTAATTTACATTAAATGCACTAAACGAAAACATTTTTTTTTCAAATCACCTTAAATAGTAGTAGCCAAACTACAAAATATCATTTTTAAAATTCCACTCTTTTTATCTCAAAATAATAAACACATGAGTTAGTATCTACTTCTGAACGCAACAACCATATTAAGATTAGATACAAAGATTCTTGACCGTGCCACTTGGGGGGGGGGGGGATGAAACAATAATTTCAGAAGGATATCCTTGTTGACTCTTCCCACTCTATGGGTCAATATATAGGGAACAATCAATGATAATATAAAGAAAAAACAGCACCTTCCAAGAAGAACATCATTTCAGTACAAAAAACATTCCTATTTTAATTAGAACAACAGAATCCTAGGGTTGGAAGAGATCACAAGAGCATTCCAGTCCAACCTCCTGCAAATATACCATAAAAGCAGTCATAACTTATCCATATATATTTGACCTCAGTATCCTTAGATGTTAACCTTATATACTGGTATGGAATAAATGGCCACCTTACAAATAAACTATGCCAAATTTTACCATGTGGGCCTAGAAGGAACCAGAAATGGCCTTCTATGTGTAAGCTTCAAGAGGCCTACCCACTTTTACCATCTTTAGCATTTAAGTAAGCTATGCCTCAAGAGACAGAACGTTTTTGAGACTATTCTTTGATATTCCCAACAAACTTGCATTGTTTCAGAACATGATTGGCTTCAGGTCCAAAGAAAGCACTCCAGATGAAGACAGACTTTCTCATAGTTTTCTTTCAATATTACACTTTGTTAACTTAGCAATAACTTCAGATATTTGGGATGGGTAGATGAGGAGTTAAGGAAAAACCAGTAGCATGTACAAAGAGATAATATTGGCATATGCAGCTTAAACCAGCTGTTCTACACAAAGCACAGACACTATCTGATTAGAGCAGACAGTAACCTTTATCAAAAGAAATTCTCTTAAAACCTGGATTAGGTATCAGTAAAGTAGCCCATATTTAGAATTTAAAGGACTACCATGAGCTACTCCACAACAAATAATTTGAGCATAGCTACTTAAACAAAAGCTTTAAAATGAGAAGTATTAAGTTCATGGTGCTAATATTCTATATCTTAGTACTTTCCCAACTGCCATTCTGCTAAGCCATCACCACCAAATCCTTTTCTGTATTAACAATTATCCTCTTCATTTAGATCAATTGCAAACTATTTCCACATACTGTGCCAGATGAACTTGTCAGCTATCCTTTACTCTATAAAAAACACAGGTTCTAGCTGTTTATATATAGGATACCCAGTCCTTTAGAACCCATTAAACTGCATCTGTTCAGTACAAAAATAAATAGTGTTGCTTTCATCTGTTTCCACAAGACTGTAAGAACCACAGCCTTCTTTCATAGTTCAATTAGCAATAACCTCAAATCAGTAAGTGAAAAATGTATCTTGGCTGGTGATACACTTCAATCAAAAGAAAATAAAGGAAAAGAAAAATACCCAGAAATGAGCATACATAATAAAAACACTGCAGGGCATTCAAACATGTACATATATGTACACACGCGCGCACATGCACACACACACAAAATCAGGAAGTCAACTCACAGTATCTCCAAGTCACGTAGGGCTCGGAAGGCTCCATCTTCAATGCAGCTGATCTGATTGTTGTCCAGTTGCCTACGGAAGGAAGGGAAAGTATGAAGGTTTGCCTGGTAACCACGCTGCCTTGGAGCACCATGTTCTCAGCTTTCCTGTCACTAAGGTGTCCCTCCACCCCCTTGCAGTCTTTGCTTGTCACCAGGAGGATGCCTGCTTGTAGCCAGCCACGCTGCTCTGTCTCTCCTTACTGACGGTCTGAAAGAGCTGCATATACTCCAGCACACTGAAGCCTGTCAGGTCTCAGTAAATATTAATTGCGCTTTCCCCCCCCCCCCCCCCACCCCCCAGGCAGAAGAGAATAATTTCATTACATTAGGGCATCCAATCCATTATGAGCTTTTACCGTCATGTCACTGAAACAATTTCATTAAGCTAAAGGCCTGTAAATCATTGGAGGTCACCGGGCTGCCCCCAGTGACCTCCCAGAATGCTGCTTCCCCCTTTTACTGGAAGTTGTAGTCCTCCGTCCTGACAGTACTAAATCTCAAGGCTTTATCTGCCCAAGAGTTTCAAGGGTGCATTGGGAATATACCAATTCCAAATTAGTCTCAACTAATCTAATTTTATAGTCTTTTTATTATTCCAAGCACCAAACGTCTGTGGTGGTTCAGTGTTTTTCCGCCTTGTTACTGGCCCCATCTGGTAGACCTGTCGACTGAAACATTTCTGACCAAACACACATCAGCGCCAGTGCATCAAGCAAGACTGATCTAATCAAGAAATCAAATGTCACTATCTACATGCTAGGAGTGAATTTTTCACCTTGGTTGCATCTGAATATGCCAGGGAAGAGGCAGGAATTGGAAAGAAGAAATCAACTGATATAACTAACTAATCTGAATCATCATTCAGCCACATGTATAATGTTCAAATACAGCTGCTGGGCCTGAATATGGTCCATAGTAAGCCAAATCTACTTCTAATTTTGGATCACTTCTTTCCACATTGATACATTTTATACTATTATTATGTGATAGTATCAATGTCATTTTTGTTTATTTTAGTAACAAGTTTATACAATTACTAGCCGTCCCCTGACACACATTGCTGTGACCCAATCTGGTGATCTGGAAAATAAAGCAACAAGAAAGTGTTGGTTTCTAATATGTGTAATTTCTTTCTGTGTGTGTTAATCATATCTATCTATCTATATCTATGGCTGGATGGCTCTTTGTCAGGAGGGCTTTGATTACGTTTTCTTGCACTGGTGAAGGGAGTTGGACTGAATGGCCTTATTTTCTGTTGGTCATGGGGGGGTTCTGTGTGGGAAGTTTGCCCCAATTCTGTCATTGGTGGGGTTCAGAATGCTCTTTGATTGTAGGTAAACTTTAAATCCCAGTAACTACAACCCCCAAATGTCAAGGTCTATTTACCCCAAATCCATCATGTTCATATTTGGGCATATAGAATATTCGTGTCAAGTTTGGTCCAGTTCCATCATTATTTGAGTCCACAGTGTTCTCTGGATGTAGGTGAACTACAACTCCCAGACTCAAGGTCAATGCCCACCAAATCCTTCTAGTGTTTTCTGTTGGTCATGTGAGTCCTGTGTGCCTTGTTTGGTTCAATTCCATCATTGGTGGAGTTCAGAATGCTCTTTGATTGTAGGTGGACTATACATCCCAGCAACTACAACTCCCAAATGACAATATCAATTTTTTGAGTGATGGTCACTCCTTGGGTTAGTGGGTGTCTTGTGGCCAAATTTGGTGGCAATTTGTCCAGTGGATTTTGAATTATGTTAATACCACAAACGAACATTACATTTTTATTTATATAGATATTGGCATTTTTATAAAGATTAATGGCTGTAGAGGAGATAATATTTACATCTGCTGGAATTTTTTTCCTTTAATTTGTTTGTCTGCTTCACACTTGTGTAGATGAAGATTTGAAATACATAATTAAATTCTACTATACCAACCCATCTTCCAACTTAAACGGCTTCCTCTAAAAATGCTTTCTGCAAATCTTGTGATAATGGTACTCTGAACCTAGCTGCTTCTTGTGTGTAACAAGCCCTGTCTACATCTGGACTGAAACCAGAAGCTGGTATATAGGATTACTGTACCATTTCAATACTTTGAACAAGCAGTGGTCACAAGACAAATCTCTCAAGTGTTATCTGCACTGCACATCACTGTTAGTGAGATACCACTTTTATTATTGTGACTCCATCATACATAATCTTGGAATGTGTCCTTTAGTAAGATGCTTAGGATTCTCTGTCCAAGAGACTCCGCAGGTCAGGGAGGAAGGCAACAACCTTCATTAGCAGTGATGTCTAAGTATCTCAACAAATAACCAACTATAGGATTTTTCAGGTTAGAGGCATGACAATTAAAATCGAATCTCATTGTCATAACTGGAACATGTGTCCACCTTTGGAAATGACATTATGTTTGGAACCATGCTAACAGAACACATTGGGTCTGCACAAAGGCAGAATATGTTTAAACACCACTAAACACACAACTGAACACCTTCCAATGTTTTAAAAATTAAAATAAGGGAATACTTCTAGACTTATTGAAGGCTGATAATTATTTACAGCCAAAATAGTGCTTAAAAGTGTGAAGCCCTTGTAGCTGAATACAGAAAGAAGTATTATAATTCTAGTACAAATACACGAGTAATGATTTTTCCAAGTATACTACAGTTCCAGTCCTTTCTTTAGAAAGAGAGATTCTTCCAACTTGGAGAATGCTTTTTTCAGTGGTAAATGAAGTTTGCCACTAGATAGAGTAATAAGTAAGTGCTAAGTGTTCTGTGGGTCTTGGTTTGGGTAATTTGGGGAAACACACATTACAGAGGTGGCCAGGAAATCCATTGCTGTGTGACCAGCAAATGTTATAGCCACCCTTCTTGCAGCCATTGTATGGAAACTCTTCTGCTGCCAAACTTCTGTCTGCATGAGGAACAACTGTGCTGGGTGCCTCTAATAATTCCTATTTACAATGCTGTGCATTTCCTTTGTTATAAATATTTATGTGCTTGAAATGTGGACGCCTATGTTCATGGAACACAGCTCTAGTCTTATGTGAAAAATCAGTACCTCAGGCTTATCTGCTCTGATTCCATTACAAATTGCTGATGGTTCTTCTCTTCCCTGTACTTTTTAAATTTATTTTATACCATTCAGCTTGGATTTCGCAGTGTGCATGTATTACTGAATGGTACACAATTATTTTCATGTTAAATCTTATAACTCTTAGCATTCTATAACAGTTTGTAAAAAATTTTTAAAAAAACCAAAATGAAGAAAAATAGACTTTATAATTAAAAAAGCATTTTGCAAAATGAAATGCTGCATTTGAAATCCCATGGCATTTGACTGCTCATCTAGAAGAGGCAGGACCCAAACTCAATCAGTATCACGACCAATACCTTGGCCTTTTTTAGTTCCTGTTCATGCAATTACACTAATGTATAAGCAAGCATAAATTAGGTATAAACATACCAAGACACCACTTCCACTTTTCCCAACTCTCTCACACACAGATGTAGCCATCCAAATATGTGGTGGACAGAACTGAAAACTAACTCTGATACCTATGTGTGAACAATAGCAATATTTTTGAAAGATGTTACTGCCAAAAACAAATTCTGGAAAATAGAGCCATTTGAGATATCTGATATAACTAATTGGTAACTAGATTGACCCTGATGACTAGAAATAAAATTCCTCAGCTTCCACTCTTTAGGTATATGGCATCCTTCGGTGGGTGCTGAGGAAAGCAGCAGCATGTTCTTGTATTACATTTATACACACACATATAATATTTCTAACATTTAATATTTCTAACATCCATATAAAAAGGAAAAAAAGGTGACAAAGGGCACCCTTGTCTTGTTCCTTTTTGCATTTCAATATAATTTGAATTTTTCCCATTTATCCTTAATGTAGCCTTTTTTGGAGTAAATAGCACTGACCATTCTTTTAAACTGCTGACTCACCCCAAAACGACGCAATACGTTTTCTATAAACTCCCTATGCATGTTTTCATAGGCTTTCTCTGCATCTAGAAATAAAAGCACCACTTCTCAGATAGGATCTTGTTCAGAAACCTCTAATATATTAACGACCTGTTTGGACAGGTAAAACCTGTTTGGAAGGATGCCTGCTTGGTCTTCATGTAATATCTTAGGTAGGAAATAATTTTAATCTATTTGCTAAAATTTCTGCAAATAGTTTATAATCATAGTTAAGTAAGGAATTTGATCTAAAGTTCTTAATTTGTTCCATATCTCTATCTTGCTTGGGAATGAGCACTATTATAGTTTTCACCTACAAATCTGAGATCGCTCCTTTTTGAAGTACTTGGTTCACTATTGAGAGAAGAATTCAATTCAGTTCTTGTTTATATGTCTTATAGTACAAGGAAGTGAACCTGTCTGGGTCCAGGGTTTTATTTGTTTTAGCCTTGTCAACTGCTTTACCTAGCTCCTCTGGCATAATTCCTCTGATAGTCTTATCAAATTTAATTCGTCCAGATATTGGTCCATCTTTCTTATATCTCTCTGAGTGTTTATATATAAGTTCCTATAATAATCTTCAAATATCTTATGAATGAATCACATATCAGTGATCATTTCCTCTTTATTCTAACAATTAATTGTTGCCTCTTGGGATCCCTCAGTTGCCACACTAACAATTCCCCTAATATATCTGCATTTTCAAAAGAATTGTGTCTTTTATATATTATTTTCCTTTCCACCTCATTTGTAATTAGCAATTCATATTGTTGTTGTAAATTAATCAGCTCTTGTTGTACTTTACTTTTCCCTGATTTATTATTCTTTAATTATTTTTCTTTAACTCTAATTTTGGTTAGAATCTCTAACTGTATTTTGTTTTCCCTTTAAACCAAATAGTGTTTTTCTGAATTAGTAAGCCTCTTAGTACTGCTTTTCCTGCATCCCAAACCATCCTTTCATCCATATCATTCTTTAAGTTCGCTTTTAAATAATGTTGTATTCCCAATTAATTTTTTTCTTTAATTTTGGAGTCCTTTAAG